AAAAAAAAAAAAGTTCTGTAAGAGCCCTCAATAAAGCAATCTTTAAAAAAATAAAAAATAAAATGCCTTTCAAATAAATATAGCTCACCCGAAAATCAAGTATGTAATTTTAAAATCTTGAGATAATTTTTCACCACCAAAAGAATATAGGCAAGCCAGATAATTTTTCACCACTATAAGAAAACAGGCAAGCCAGTTTTGCCAACAACAAAATTGCTCTTACGGATCAAAGCAAAAGCACCAGCTTTTTTCTAGAAGGATCCCTTTGTAGCACACTTGTAATTGTTCGAAGTATATTACTGAGTTCTGCATTGTAAGTAGAAGGTGTTTAGCCATGTGTGTGTGTGTATTTATATAATCTCCAATGTGCAAGTTGTTTAGCATGTCTTGGGAAGATTAACTATTTTAAGATCACTGTATTACTCTTTATCACATGACTTTTGCGTGGTGCAAGTGGATACCTGGGTGTCTTCAGTGGAGATGTGTTTCCTTATTCAAAGAAGTAACCTGTCATAGATCACCCATTTTGTTGTGCTGTCATCAGCGATAACCTATTGATGTAACCCCCTTTAATCTACTAGAATGACCTGTGTACCAATTTGCATAACTTTTGCCAGTGTTCTAAAAGAGTGTTAGTGGGGTTGATCAGTAAAAGACATAACATTATTTTGAGGGGCACATTTACAAATTTTTGTGAATATTTGCACTTCTCCAGTGGTTGAGTTTTACTGATGAGACCCCGTAAGGCTGAGAAGTGGACCCAACATTATAATGGGAGAAAACAAAACACTGTGTTTCTAAAGCACAATGTGAGATTTGAGGCTCTGAATATGCAAAGTCAACTCAAGGCCATTTGACTTGAGGACAAGATAATAAAGGATCTATCATTATCTTTCCCAAAAGCAATCTCTGGAATTGTGTAATTGCTGCTTTAGATAAGTTAAATGCCTACCCTTTTATGTAATTGGAGTGGGTAGAGAGAAGAATTTGACCTTTATAATTTATATAAATCATTTGGATATTGCCATTAGAGTGCTTTCCTCAGTTGTGATTTCTTATGGAACATTTGGATCATTTAGAATGACCCTTTCTGTCCCCAGTGAATGCCCCTTTTAAAACTTTAGGATTGCATTTATTATACTTATGGGAAAAGTGAATTGGGGATATATTGCCAATACCACTTTATATGTAAACTTTGAATTCCTGGTGGTTTAGTGAGTTTCCATTGGACCTGCTACCTGCAAGGTCAGTAGTTTGAGTCTACCATGTGCCATGAGGAAG